TGACTTTTGATTTCGCTATAATGACAATGCGCGCAGTTTGCGAAAGGTTCGTTGCCTTAATGCAGCTGCTGATTGTTCGCTCTGCGTGGCACTTTTTCTCACGATTGATGCAGCTTTCTTGGGCCCTCGCGGGAGCTTCGACCTGGGCCTGAAGCCTGAAGGAAGGTGGATAGTTTTCGGAGTTGCTTGCTCAAACAAGCCCTGCATCGTCGGAGCCATGTCTCATCCTGCGGCCCTCTCCGCCTCTTGGCAGACGGTGTTAGGACTTCATTCAACTTTTCTGTTGCATGAACGGCTGCTAGCCCAGGTCCAGGAAGGATTCAAACCCCAGAAACAGCCATTGCACGCCCGGTTCAAGAGAGGCCGGGCTCGGCGCTGCGGCGCTAGGATGCGCATTCTTGGCGCCAGGCCGAAAGCTGGCTTCTGGTGATTTACGTGGTGAGGGACTTCTTGTGCTCTGATAGCTCTTAAACTTTCGACTTGAGTTGACAGGGCAGGAAACGATAACAAGGTTTGCAGAGGCGAAGTCGGCTGTTGCCCATGGAAAGAAGTGAGCCGAACGCAGGCACGTCGCCAGAGGCACGTGCCCCTCGGGCCCTGCGCGGTGCCTCCCAGGCAGGACCACAAAGAAAAGCAGGGCAGGGGTTCGAGATGGTTTCAGATGTTACATTGGTGTATGGCCCCGCTTTGACGACTAGTACTGGACACCTCTGGGCTGACAGGAAACGAATCGAATGCGAATGCAATTCGCCACGCCTTGCAACATGCAGCTGTATCATCGGCCTCAGTCTTGTTCGACAAAGCGCCCCTCTTCCAAACACATGCGCGAGAAGCGGCAGAAACTAGAAGATGCTTGAGTTACCACCGGACCGGGATACTAGAGAGATACAGGGAGTAACAAGAAGATCTTACGATCAGCATGAGCGAGGGCCCATGTTCGCAGTCCTAGGAAATGCCAAGCCCTGATCCCTCATCCCTAAATTTTCGCGGCCGTGCTAGGCTCCCCAGGGTGCCGCATTGGGCAGTTCTACTGCGGCCGCGGCCGTGTCCTCAGAGTGGTTCAGGGAGAGGTTGTGGATGTAGGGTGTAGGTTAATCTTGACGGGAAATCTCATTAAGTATGCATTTCTACCTCAGGTGGGCTCGGCAGGTGAAAGCTTTTGACAGCGCTTACGGTTGCCAACATTCATGCCCACAAATCCAACACAAGCAGGAAACGCCCGAAACCTTTCACCCAGACCAGCAGCGCCCTTCCTCTCGTCGGCGCGGGGCTTTTGGGCGCGGGAGCGGCAGCGCGCCGCTCTGCGCGCCAGGCGAGGAGGGCTTCTGTCTTTCTGGGTGTTGGGGTTAAAAGCTGAGGGTTTCTTCTCTGTCTTACTACTCTTCGTGCCTCCTTCTTCTATTGTGGTTGGGCCCAGAGTTGATTTGTCTACTTTTTGTTTACGGATTCGAGGTTGCGGTGTTAGCCTTATTTTGCAAAGGCTGACGCTATCAGAGTCGACATGTGCGGCAGTGTTCTAACAAGGTAGTCTCGTCATACACGTAGTCATACCAGGTATTGTACAGATAGTCATTAATGGATTTTGACTTTGCCTTTTCAGGCTGTAACATGGGGCCTGCATCAGTTCGTGTGATGCTGAGACTAGGCCGCGGAGACTCGCGTGACGCGACGCAGATCCGGTCCTTGTTGCTAGTTGCTAGTCTTAGGGCTATGCTGTACGGTTGTTTTCGTCATCATCTTCAATTTCTGTACCAGGAGTCTGAAACCCTAGCATCGTGCTTGCACAAACTGGGAACCTGGAAGGCACAAGCAGCACGGTTCGAAGTCATGAGTTACACTTTCACAACCGTCGTTCACGTGTATCATCATTCGTATCCAACGTAAATGTTAAACGCGGTAGTTGACCTTAAATTCAGCCGTATTCGCTAGACTGTCTAGAATCCACAACCAAAATCCTAAGCATTGCATCCCAAACCCGATCTCCTTTATCTTAAATCCTCAACCTACACCCCGCCGATTCTTCTGCACCACCCCGAGAAAAAGCCTTAAACCAGAAACCAAGAAAAAACAACACTAGACCCTAAACCCCAAGCCCAAAACCCCAAAACCTGTAAACCCCAAACCCTAAACCCCAAACCCCTACCCCAAACCCCTAACCCCTAAACCCTAAACCCTAAACCCTAAACCCTAAACCCTAAACTCTAAACCCTAAACCCTAAACCCTAAACCCTAAACCCTAAACCCTAAACCCCTTCTGGCGGCCGTGGGGCCCGCGGAGGCTCGGAGAGCGAGGGCCCGATGTGTGCGGTTGGCGGAGAGCCGGTCCGCGCAGCTGCAGAAGCTGGTACACCTGGGAGGCGGGCTTTAGGGTTTTAGGGTTTTAGGGTTTTAGGGTTTAGGGTTTTAGGGTTTTAGGGTTTAGGGTTTAGGGTTTAGGGTTTTCGGAGCTTTGTTGGGCTTTAGGGTTGTGGGCTTCGGGTCTAGGGTTTTCGGGTTTGGGCTTTAGGGTTTCAGTATCTTAGCAGGCAACCAGGGCTTTACAGTTTTGTGAAAAGGGTCTGTAGAGTTTTAGGGTTCTGAAGGAGGTGTATAGGGCCTCAGGTGTCGGGTCGAGGGTGCATTCCTTTTCTATGAGATCTTATGAAGAAGCCAAGAGTCCAATCATCAGACCTGAATCTAGATTGCAGGCGGTACGGCTACCTTTTTAGAATCCTCGAAGAGCACCAGGGCTAGAAATCTAAGCTGAGGCTTTCAGTGTTCGAGGTTTTGTGTTTGTGGCTTTCAGGGTTTCGGAGTCTTAGCATTGTGTGTTTTAGGGTTCAGAGCTTCAGTTTCGGATTTGCCAAGTTGTCCCGTGCGACTTGTTCGTTGTGATTGTGATCAAACGCTTGTATTTGTTCATATGCTTGTTGTTGTTGTTGTTGTTGTTGTTGTTGTCGTTGTCGTTGTCGTTGTCGTTGTCGTTGTCGTTGTCGTTGTTGTTGTTGTTGTTGTTGTTGTTGTTGTAGGCTCGGACCACCTGTAAGCGCGCGTTTTGCATGTGCCAAATCCACCGGTATTTATAGTGTTTCGCGTGGGTCACATGCCGAAAACACCACTGCCGTCGGTGTTTCCGGCGTGTTCATTTTCCACGTTTCTGGTAGTGCCGACTCCATCGGTATTTACAGTGCTTTGCGTGGGTCACATGCCGAAAACACC